TCAATTGACCATGTCCCCTCCGACTACACCAATCGCATGTCTCCACTCATACTGATAAAATTGAACAGTAGTTTTTCGTTTGGGTCAGGCGATATTGTTACTCTGCGGAAACTCCTCTTAGCTGCCAATTGCTGTATAGCCTCCAATTGCCTGACTCGTAAGGAGAACCGAACAGGAGTGGAAACAATTCTTGCTGGCCAATCTGATATGGCTATCACGTCGTTCAGCATAACCATGCAGTACTTTTTCTAGTACAGCATAAAATAATGGGAATTGTGGAAACGCATACATGCCCATGGTATTTTTTTTGCCAGTGCATATTCAAGGGGATCTAGAAAGCACAAGACGCGTCTTTTACGCTTGAAGTTCTTGGCCAAGGCAAATAGGATGATCTGTGGCATTTCCCAGAGGGCATGACTGTTTGCTTGGCCCTGAAAATCTGCCCACTCGAGAGTATGCTGCCAACACACTACATTGGTAGCAGCATGGGAGGAGTGGTCCCCAAAAATAAAATCTGTTGTCTATAATCATTGCAGGGGCTTGTAAAGTAACTTTCTGTGGTCATTCCAACAGAAACACTAAGGATGTCACGGTTTTACAGTGAAGGGAACAACTAGAATTTCACTTGTTATAAACAACTTGTAGTTTAGAATCTCGCATGCTTTAGAGACTTGACATGCATAGGCTTTAGTAATCCATGAACATAATCTATGTTGTATGCACCATATGTTTTTTCATATCACAGCAAATACAATCTATGACTGGATAAAAATACAAAACTTGTGTGCTTTGTTGATTGAGATTGTTAACCCTACATTATAACACTAGACACAATAACATTTGTAATATTTTTTTTTTACTTCACTTCATCAAATACATGTCAAGTGAAATTATAATTGATGTTCTGGGAATTCAAAGACCACATCTTTTCCTGTCAGTTTCTTATATACAGCAGAGAAGGTATCAGTCTGAAAAGAAACATACCAAAATATGACATGTGAAAAAATTATATTGCAATTATGAAACTATATATTTTTTGAAATAACACTGTTCAAGCCCTTAAAGCGGGAGGGTCGTCACCTGCACACACGGTAGAATTGAGTCCCAAGCGACGATAACACAGACTAAAAACGCAAAGGCTCAGAGTAGACGCTTGTTTGTAAACAATGACACGCTATGGCCATCTGACGCATGCGCAGGTGACGACTCCCCTGCTTTAAATTATCTAACAAATACAATTTTTGGTTTATACAAGATTCTATTACAAGTACTGTAAACCACTTCAGCATTCATGGAGACAAAAATTGATAAGTAATTGTTGTTGGACCAAAGAGAAATTTTCAACGCTAGTATTTTAAAGGGCAGCAGTTGTCGCGCTGCGCATGTGCGACATTTGTGTTGATAAACAATGATTTTCCCACAATCCAATGCGCTCTTCTAATGGAAATCACAAGCACAAGGTTTGACCTGGGTGTGACTTGCACTAATTACTGCTGGTGGCTCCCTTCTATACCTTCCAATCACCTAAAAAATACTTAATTAAAGCTTGGTAACGTCTCAGTTTGTACTTGTTGATCTGCACAACAGTTAAAGTGCCATCTTTGTTTACATGAGACCCATACATCTCGCGCATGTGTGGCGTGAAGACTACCACCCTTTACAGTATTGTATAATGTAATTTTTATTCAGATTTTTTGGTAAATCATAATTATGACAATCTGAAATGATGAGAAATGCAATATGCTGACATGTCATGAGGGATTGTCCCCTGATCAAGAATCGTCCCCTGATCAAGACCTACATTGTCTAACAAACTGTAGAATTCTGCTGATATAGAGAAAGATTTTGAATTTTCAGTCACTATCCAACTGAAAACCCTTTTCTCACCTTGTGTTCCACATTAGTCTGTTGGATCTTATCTAGATGCACTTTTATCATTCGACTCCCGTCCAATTTTACTCTAATTCTTTTGCCAACGATTTCTGATGGGTACACTAAATCTTCCAGGATACAATCATGCACAGATGTCAATGTGCGACTGCGAGGGCGCTTCTGCTTGTTCTTGATTCTTGTTTTCCTTGTTGGTTTTGGAAGAATACGTCTCTAAGAATGAAACAGACAAGTTCAATTATCAATTTTGTAACTACATGCTAACCTTAGTTATCCCTTGAACTAGCATTGTCTCAGCAAATTCACTTACTGCGAAGCATTTTAATTTTCGATGTTAGGAATTTTTGAGATTTGAAAATTGTATTGTATTCATATAAACAAAAGTCGCAGACTAGCAAACCTTTTTCATGGGAAAATTAAAGCTATTGACAGAAATATAATTTTGAACAGGGTAACATCACCGTGGAAACAGTATTTCTATGTAGTATGTGTGAAACCACACTAACAGTGAATTTTTGGGAGTTGATTTTTTTTTTCTGTTAGAGATAATGCCGGTTTGGAAGATGCTTTGATAGGATACAGCTTTTGCGGCCAGAGATCATGTGGTGGAAGTGCCCGAGGACACATAAGCTGTACGACCGAGAGCAGCAAAAGCCGTATTCAGTCCATAAAGGTTTTATCATATACAAATGTCGTAATTTAGGGGGACGCGTTTTATTTTGATTGATGAAATTCGAGCATGCCGAGGATAGGCGCGACACAGGAAATTATTGCCTTGGTGTGACGCCACAATTCCTATAGCGTTACGAGGCCAGGCAATACAAGGTATCTGATAAAATCCTACTGCTAGGAATAACAAAGCTCTGCCACCACCGCCACCTCACAAATTAGCATAGAATTCATTTATGGCAGAGAAATAAGAGGAAAAAAAAAGTATTAAATGTCACCCCTACACAAGGTGATTGCAATATAAGCATTAATAGATACACTTTGTAAGGACTATATCAAAACATGATAGATACAGGGTTCTCCCCAGAAAAAATGCATAGCGCTGCAACTAATTTGCATATTAATTTGCATATCATTTACATACATTTCCTTCATTAATTAACAGAACTCATTTACAATTATGAATATTAATGAGCTCAGTCACAGTGCAAATATTTTTTTTAATGGAATCACACATTATGTTTCACAATTTAGAGAGTTTGAAACATTCTCGAAATACTGATGCTGCAGACTAAAACAACACAATAAATTTTTGTTGCATTTAATTGTCTATTGTAAAACGTTGAATAAAACGCATTCGA